ATTTCCATGTCTTTTTTCCAAGTATCTTCATTCTTGCTTAATTTCCTCAGGTGATTTTTGTTGTTGTTGTTTCTTTTTGCAAGCCCTTTTGGTTTCTGGCTTTGTGATTTTTCTTAACATTGCCAATTCTGCTTAATTTCTTTAAATGTGCTATTTATCTACCTGAAATGTCTCAGAGATAATTAGTATGATTTCTTTGACCTTATCCACTGCTGTGGATGGTGCTTCTGAATCAATTGTTCTAGAGGATTTAAAATTTATATTGACATTCTTTTGTCAGTTTTTACCGTTGGTTTTTTTTTAATGCTGTTTTGCTTTTCTTTGGTGGATTATTTTGTTTTTCATTGTTAGTGGGGTGTGTGAAAAGCCTGGATTTCTTTGATCTTCTCATTCAGCTACATAAGATGACTTTCATACAAACTCATTACATACACAGAAAAGAAAGTCAGAAAGACTCATAAAACAAGGGCAATTGGAATCATAAGTCAAAGTTAAGTTATACATCTTTTGAAGGTAGGGCTACAATTGGTAAACATTGGAAGCTCTGTGATAATTTTTCATCTTACATGCCTGTTTTTCATGTTTTCTTTCCTTTTTCTGATATATTTATATACACACATATATACATATATTTGAATAACTGTACTTCAGTAGAAATTTAAATAACATTTATTTTTCAAGTTGAGGATGAGAACAGGAAAAAGCTCATTGGATTTAGCAAATAGGAGTTCATTATTGATCTTGAGCAGAGTTCAGCAGAGTGACTTAAGTATGATAAATGAAATTTTCTGAGATGCATAAGTTCTGGTTAATTAATAATCAAGTTATTAATTGATTATTAATAATAACAAATAACAAATAATTCAATGAAGTCATTGGCTTTCTCTCATAAACCAAAGATGCCTCCTGGAGAACACTGAATGTTTAAAAAGACTTTGGAAAAGGGATGTACCTGAGGGTGGAAATCCACTTTGACTGGTTAACAGTCAGTGAAGGAGGTAGACATATTAATGAGGAAGTGGGCAAAAAGTCTTCAGCTCCTCCTGCTGAGAACATGACCTGATGATCACCTCCAACAATTTGGACAAAAAAATTCATCTCTGCCCAGACTACTCTGGCTGGTTTTCCCCATCGTAATCCCGGTCACCCTAAATTCTAATGTAAGGTTCCAAGGACAGGGGCTTATTTCCTAAGGGCAAGACCTAGCTTAGACTGGATTCTGTTTGTAAGGCCTTCTAGTTGGGTGGGGTCCCAACCAAGATCAAGAAAAGCATGTACTTGAGGATTTGGGCAATCTCATCTATCAGCAGTATTCTCCAGAGGCTGGGTGAATAACCTATAAGAGTTGGTTTCTGAATGAGGAAGGGAAAACCTTAATCTTAATTTAATAATTGGTTATTAATATAAGAGAAAAACAATAATTTCTCTCAATAATTGACAAGTATATAGTGCTTTAAAGTCTGGTTCGAGCCTGTCTCTGACACATAGCCAACCTATAAGGGGCAGTGTGGTATTGTGGGCAGAGTGGAATGGTGGACTTGAGGTCAGGGAGACCTGGGTTTGAATCCTGTCTCAGACACTTCTTAACTGTGTGATCTGGGGCAAGTCTCAGTTTCTTGGCCTGTTTTCCAAGGACCTCTGAGGTCCTTTCCAAGATCTACTATCTTAAGAGACCTTGAGCAAACCATCCCAAACTGTCAGTGCTTCAGGCAAATAAAACTTTCAGGATGAAGATTATTTGCTGATCAGTAAGGGGAGATGGAGCTTTCTCACCAGGATTTCTCTTACTCCAAGTCTTCCATCTCTTTGGTCCCAGAACACATTGGTATTCTTAAAAAATTATTGAAGATTTCCCTCCCTAGAAGAATTTTGTGTAGATTTTAGCTATCAGTATTGGCCATATTAGAAATTAAAATATTGGCTCGGATTCTTATAAACTAGCCACTGCTCAGATTTTTTACAATCTAGCCAATAGCTCACAGGTGCTCAGATTCCTTAACAGTCTGGTCAATATGGCAGATCTTTAATAAACCTTGTCTTTGGCTGAAGGAAGGCTTGGGTGGGATTCTTTTAGACAGGACCTGCATGTCATGATTTTGGGGTCCCAGCACCCCTACACCTCTAGACCTCATCATATGGTTCCCTGACGGGGAATAGCTGCCAAATCCTAAATTCTTCTCCAGCCAAGACTGCAAGTGTTTTCTGTCAGACTTGTGTCTTCCAGACTCCAGGCCATTCACCTACAGTTGGTAGCAAACAGTGGGTACCAGCCAATGTCTCCCCATCATTCCTTGGATGCAGCCCGTGCTCGGTTCCAGTCAATCTCCTCTTTGGGACCCCCCTCGAGGCAGAGACAGCCCTTTGCCCCTTGCCAGCAGGAAGCAGTTTCAGAAGCCAAGACCTTTGCCCCTCACCCCAAAAGAATTTGGGTCCCATTTGTTTGAGGAGGGAATGATGGGGTTGGGATCTGGACCCCATAAAGGAAAAATCCTGGACTTTTCCATATAGCCAAATCTTGGGAGGTCCCCTGAGGCTATAATCCCATTAACTAGCCTTTCATTGTGGCTATGCCCAATCTCCCAAATCTCTATTACCCTTAACCTATCCTAGCCCTTCACTGTCTTACCTCCCTATGGCTACTTCCCACCCTTGATCCTATCTAGGCTTCATTCTCCCTTGGTCACATGGTCCAGGTCCCTGGCCTTCTATTACCTCACAGTCCCCCTAATGCCTAATGACATTTTTGTCCTTTGTCAAATTGGCTGTTGAATGCTTTGTTTGAGAGTTCTTTTAAGCATTAAAGTTGAAGTGAATGCTGAGGCTGAAGGTCTGTCCTTATTTAAAATTGGGTACAACATCTGCCTAACTTCAGTCTTCATAGTAATTTTCTACAAGTCTGTCAAGCAATTAGGATATTGTTGTTTTGCTGATTTACAGACTCACCTTTGTTCTTTTAGACTTTCCAAATGTTTCCTTTGCTATTCAACTCTCTTCCAGTACCATATTACTGTATTTCCAATTGCCTGCTAGATATCTCCATCTGGATATCCCATAGGCACCTTAAACTTGCCACCAAAATAGAACTCATTATCTTTCCCCAAACTTATCTTTCTACTTATCCTCCCAAACTCCTTATTCTAAGTGCACCATCATGCTTCCAGTCACCTAGATAAACATACTTGGAATATCTTCAACTCTACCATCTCCCCCACCCCCCATATTCAATCAGTTGCTAATTTTACCTTGATCTCTATCTCTTGTATACATCTTTTTCACTTGCTCCATAGCAGTCCTAGTTCAGCCTGCTTTATCACCTTTTGCCTCTACTATTGCAATAGCCTTCAAATAAGTCTCCCTATACTCATCTTTTGTTTTCCAACCTATCCTCCACGTAGCTTTGTTGTTCATTTGTTTTCAGTTGTGTCCAACTCTTCATGACCCTATTGGGGGTTTTCTTGGCAAAAATACTGGAGTGGTTTGCCTTTTCCTTCTCTAGCTCATTTTACAGATGAGGAAACTGAGGCAAACAGGGTTAAGCAATTTGCTCAGGATTACATAGCTAGTGTCTGAGGCCAGATTTGAACTCAGAAAGAGGAGTCTTCCTAACATAAGCCCAGCACTCTATGCACTGGGCCATGTAGATGCCCCCTCCAAATAGCTACTGAACTGATATTCCTAAGGCAGGAGAGTGACCACATCACTCCCTTGTTCAAGAAGCTTCAATGGCTTCCTATTGTGTTTAAGATAAAATACAAAATCCTATACTTGGCATTTCAAATCTTTCACCATATGGCTCCAACCTATCTTTCTAGGCATGATCATTCCCCATCATGTAGTCTACCTTCTAGCCACACTGGCCTCTATGCTATTCTTGTACACAATATTTCTATCTCCTGCCTGGAATGCTCTCTCTCCTTACCTCTGCTTTGCTCTCTTAAAGGTTCAGCTAGCTCACGTGCCATCTTCTATGAGAAGCCCTTCCTGATTCCTTCAGTCATTCATGTCCCCTGCAATTACTTTGTATGTTTTTAACTTTTGTTTATTTGGGTATACTGAGTATATCACTCAGTAGAAAATAAGCTTCTTGGTGCCAGAAACAGCTTCATTTTTGTCTTAGTATGTCTGGCATATGCTTTGGATTGAATTAACCAGCCCCATATCTTGGTTATTTGATTACAGTTGAGGCTAAAAAAACCAACAACTCAGACTTTGCCTTGCACGTACATGTATATTGTTAAATTCACGAGGGAGATGACAAATTAAGACCTATTTTCTGGAAAACTACTAAGACAAATTTTGATAATATGCGTTTCTATAAGTTTGGAAGGGACTTGTCTCATCTAGTCCAGTCCCCTTACCTATTAGCAAGGTCACACCTAAAGTATCCAATCTATTCCAGGGTCAAACAATTCTAGGACTTTATTTTATGTATGTAACCTAAATATCTATTGCTGCATTTTAAGACCATTTCCTATTTCCTATCCTAAACATCATCAGTTGGTTTTATCCTTACTGTAATACTCTCTATATGTTAAAACTCTTATCAAGTTAACTCTCAAATCTTCTTCATATTAAAGAATATGGCATGAATTATTGTCTTGTATTTGACTTCTTTAATTATTTTCTCTTTTCCTCTAAAATAAAAAGACTCCAACCAGGCTGACTACTCTTATAAAAGCCCAATTGGTGCCAGATTAGAAACAAGTTGTAGTTAAGTTGAATTAAGAGATGTACCAAATTTGAGAGCTAATTTTACATTCTGTTCTACAATTTCAGAGGGCTGTGAATCGTCTCTTTTGTGATTTTAGGAAAAACAACATCTAGGCTACCCTATGTAATAGTCCAAACAATACCTTCATGAGTAAGAGGACATTTCATGGCTTAAGATTTTAAAAGATGTAAATCCTTTTTTTTTATTCAAGTGAATTTGTGATCTCAGCAGTTTGGGAGGTTTTAATAATACTATTTAGAGGATGACTATTAAAAAAAACCCAACTAAAAACATTTAAAATGAACTGTTTATTAAATCAGACTATTATTCTTAACAGTTACATAACTTACACAATATGTTTCAGTCAGAATATTTCACATGAAAAAATCAAACTTGTAGGCAGGCAAATAGTACCACACACAATATGTATTTTAAGGGATGGAGTGCCAGGGGAAGGGAAACTGCTAAACACTCAAATATAAGGCCATGATTATTTAAAAATTAAAAAAAAAAGATTAAAAAAGCTCAAGCTTTTTTTTTTCTTGAATTGTACTCAGTACTACATACTATTGTCCTTTCTTAGTGTACTCACATAATCAAGGTAGTGATCTCTTGACAGGTTTAATGCATTTCTTGACATTATTTAAAATGGAATAAGGCTCATTAATACATACAGCTGCCCTTGGAATTTCAATCTCAGTTACCTTCATTAACTTAAAATTCACAAAGTGCACAATTAAGATATGTAAAAAACAAAACAAAAATAAACTGAATTTGCTACTCTAGTAACAGCTGCCCATGCTTAATACTTAGTGGCCTATATGAACAAAGTAATTTTCTTTCCAGGAAAAATAAAAAGGTAAGGAAGGCCACCATAAAACACCTAACTTGAAAGATGTGCTAGTTTTCTTGTAAACTGAAAAAATAGGACCAAAAAAAAAGATTGAAGGGGGGAAAAAAATACAAACACTAGTAATGACCAACCATTTTCAAAGAACAAGCACCACAATGGACATTTGCATTCAGTTTGGTTGTGTATTAATGGATGTTTCTTTACTCCAGCCAATCCACTTCATCAAACTCTGAATCATCTTCAGAATCGCTATACTCCACAGCAATCCGGCGGGACAAGATGGTGGCCACATCGTTTTCAATGCGTTCGTGTTTAGCCTCTTGCTCACGCTGTTCCTCTACTTTTCGTAGTTGAATACCTGGTGTGTAATAAGTCAAAGTCATTGCAGGTTTTAAGCCAAATATTAACTTTTCTTGAATATGTTCACTGGACATGAAAAATACTAACAGGAAAACAAATGGCTGGCTGCTCAGAAAGAAGAATGCAAGAGGACAATTTTTAGAGACAGCAGCTGTTTTGTGAACATGCCATAAGTTAGGCTGGTATAGCATTTTGCCAAATGGAACCTTTCGTGGTCTCAAAGAATTTAGACAAAATTCCTCAAAAACTCATGAATCCAAAAGACGTGGCTCAATTTGCATAGAAAAAAAAATATGACTATTTGTGCTACTGCCTATGTAGGTTTGTGACTGCAGTACATTTATATAAATTAAGTGGGGGGGCAGGGGAAGGAACAACCATTTGTATAGTGCCCACCACGTGCCAGACACTGCTAAGCACTTTACAAATATCATTTGACCCTCACAACAACCCTGGGAGGCAGGTGCTGTTATTTTCCCCATTGTACAGTTGAGGAAACCGAGGCAAACAGAGATTAAGTGACTTGCCCAGGGTCATGAAGGTCTCCTTGACTCCGGGCCGGCCAGCCTTCTATCCACTGCACCACCTCGCTACCTCTAAGCATGTCATCTTTTAAAAGTTGGGGCATCCAGCAAGGGGAGATTATGTTCTAGATTCTATTCTCACCAACAGGGAGGAAGTGGTTGCTGGGATGGAAATGATGGGAACCTTAGCAATAACAATAATAATTAGCTAGCATTTACTTAGTGCTGTAAGGCTTGTAAAGTGCTTTACAAGTATCCTGTTCAATCCTCACAACCCATTGAAGTAGGTGCTATTATCAGCCCCCTTTACAGATGGAGGAAACAGGTTGAGAGAGGTTAAGTAGTGTACATAGGATAACACAACTACTAAGTGTGGGAGGCAGGATTTGAACTAAGGGCCTCACAGACCATTTTGCCTGACCTGAGGCCACGGCTCTTCTTATGCTCTGATGTTGACCTGTACATCTGATCCAAAAATTGCCTCCTACTTCTAGCCCATTGGTTTATAAATTCCTCTGTGTGTGTGTATGCATGAGTATATAGATATTGTGTGCACATGTGCACGCAGGTGTACATGTGTATACTATTCACATGTATAGGCATATCCACACACATTGTGAATATGTACATGCATACAATTCATGCGTGTGCACACATGTATATATGTATGCATGCATATGTACCCACATGTGCGTGCACGCGCGCACACACACACACATATATAAATCTCCCTGGTAACTAAGCCTATATTCCACATCAGAGATGTCAAATATATGGCCCATGGACTGCGTGGGTGAGGGCCAAAGCAGATTAAAATATAATAACAAAAATATAATAAAACATAGATCACATTTCACTGTAAAGCTAAGTCAATCTTTTGCAGCCTGCAGGGATCCTTATGTGTGGTTTAGTGGCCCCCGTTTCTTTTTCAATCTGATACCACCACTCAATTGAAGCTTCTGGCTGCTCCCTTAGAGGCTTCTCCCACTACTTTCCCCCTAGCTGTGCAGCTTGGGAAGTCCTGTTGGGTGACATGGAGCTAAGGGGCTTGAAGCCCCAGTTCAGGAAGGTTCCATCCTTGGCTCCATCCAGAAGCAGGACCAAGGAACACACCTGTACAAGTGTAAATGTTTTCAAGGTTTTTCTGTGTCTGATACAGGAAGACATTTCCAATAAAGTTATGGGGGAAAATGAATTTTTAAAAAAGCCTCATGGCACACTAATCTTCCATCCTTTTTTTTTTTTTGGCAGGGTTAATAAACTGGTAGATTAGAGGGAATGAAAGAGCTCCAGTTTACTTGGATTGTAGCAAAGCAGCTGATAAAGGCTCTCACGCTATTCTCATGGGGAAAAAATTTGTAGGAGAAAGGCCATAGTAAAAACAGCTGCATTCAGAACTAGTAACATGTCCGTACCTAAAAAGAGTTATGTCAACTTGTAAAGGAAGTCTTCTTTAGAATACTCCAGGGATCTAGATACCTGTGCTGCTTAACATTTTTATTTTTATTTAATGCCTTGGATAAAAGCAGAGATGATGTGTTTATCAAACCTGCAGATGATACAAAGCTGAGAGAAAAGTAACACACTTGAGGATAGAGTCAATTTTCAAAGAACTTGACAGGCTAGAATACTGGGTCACATAGAATAACATTAGAAGCAGCTAAGTGGTGCAGGGAATAAAGTGTTGGGACTGGAATCAAGAAGGCCTGAGTTCAAATCCTGTCATTTAACCTCTCTCTACTTCAATTTCCTCAACTGCAAAATAAGGATAATAAAAGCCCCACCTTGTAGGGTTGTTGTAAGGATCAACTGAGATATTATTTGTAAAACACTTTGCACAATGTCAGGTATATAGTTATGTGCTATACAAATGCTAGCCATTGTTATCGTTATTATTATTAAGATGAAATTTTATAGAAATAAATGTAAAGTCTTAAACTTGGGTTCAAACATCAATTTCACAAGTATAAGAGGATGAGGGTCTTGATAGTTCATTTGGAAAATATCTGCAGCTTTAGTGGACTGCAAATGCTTAAAATGGCAGCCAAGCAAGCTAATGACTTTTGGCTGCACATTAACAGAGGCAGAGAAACCTCTTGTGGCATGCCTCCCCTTAGAAGTGCATGCAAAATGGGGTGTCACATTTCAGGAAGGAGGCTGATAACCTGGTAAGCATCCAACCAGGATGGTGAAGGGCTTTTAGAACATGCCATTCGAGGACTGGTGGAAGAATTGAAGATATTTGGCCTGGAGAAAGGAAGCTTAGGGGGGAAATGATATCTATTCAAATAAATGAATAGTTGTCATGGGGAAGAGAGATTAGACACATTTTGTTTGGCCATGCAAGAATGAACTAGACACAGTAGGAGGCAGCTAGAGAGAGAGGTAGATTTAGGCTTGATGTCAGGAAATACTTCCTTAACAACTAGAGCTATCTCTAAGTGGGACAGTCTGTCTGGTGGGGTGGTGGTGGTGGAATTCTCATCCCCCAGATCTTCAAAGTCTGGATGACCCATTTGTCAGGAATGTAGAGCACATTATTTTTGTGGTTTGGGCTAGATGGCCCCTCAAATCACTTTGAAATCTCAAATGCTGTGATTCTCTGATGCTCAACTAATAGTGAGATATTTTGAAAACTCAACCTCCCACAATACCTGGCATGCAATAGGTTCTTAATAAATGCTTCTTAATTGAGTGAGTGCTTGTTTGAACAGACTACAAAGCAGCATCTGTTAAAGAATACTTACCTGTCAGTTAATAAAAACTTATTAAGCACCTACTATGTGCCAGGCACTATGCTAAGTGCTAGGGATATAAAAAGAGGCATAAGACAGTCCCAGCTCTCAAAGAGCTCACCTCATAATCTAATGGGGGAGACAAAAAGCAAACAAATATGTACAAACAAAAAACATACAGGGAAAATAGGAAATAAAATTTAAACAGTGGAGGCAGTAGAATTAAGAGGGGGTGGGAAATCCTTCCTGTAGACAGAAGATGGTATTTTAGCTGAGACTTGAAGAAAGTCAGTAGGCAGAGATGAGAAGAAGACAGAGAGCAATTCAAGCAATTCCAGAGAAAATGCCTGGAACTGAGCTGTATTGTTCAAACAATGGCCAAGGAGGGCAGTATCATTGGATTGAAGAGTACACGTCATAAGAAGACTGGAAAAGCAAGGGGTGGGACTAGGTTATGAATGTCAAACAGAGGATTTTATATTTGATACTGGAAGTGATAGGAAGCCACTAGAGTTTACTGAGTAAGGGGATGTCATGGTCAGAGCTGCATTTTAGAAAAATCATTAAGGCAGTTCAATGGCAGATGGACTGGAGTGGGGAGACTTGAGGCAGGCAGGCCCACCAGCAGATACAAAATATTCACAGTGCTTGACAGATGTAAAGCATGCTGCTATCCAAAAGTTTGACTAAGTTTCTAGTAACAACACAACATCCCCGCCCCCTCCCTCTTTTTTTTTTTTATGAGAAACAGTCAAATTACCTTTCCGTATTGCTTCCAGAAGTACGCTCCTGGCATCGCTTATTACTGGCAGGGTTGATGGATGGCGCTTTGGCTCCGGAGCAGGAACAACTTGGGATGGAGGAGATGGAGGCATTAATGGAACGTGAGGCCCAGGGGCAGTCGATGGGGGTGGGTGTACTCCAGAGAGAGGATGAGAAAGAGCTGCAACAGTGACAGGTGACGAGGGCCGAATGCTGCCTGGAGGTGGCAGGGGAGGAGGGGGTGGAGGTGGAGGCAGCCCTTGCACTTCCCCTGGTGGGAGTGGATGAACAGGTACAGTTTCACACACTGGGGCAGCTCTAGTGACTGGAGGGGAGGGCTGCGCCAGAGGTGGCGCTATCGGAGGAGGAGCTGGGTGAAGGACTCCAGGTGCGATCTGTAGAGGAGCTGGCGGGGGCGGCACTGCTGGAGCTTGAAGAGCCGCAGCTGGAGGTGGAGGTTGGGGAGGTCCTGGAGGGGGAGGGGTGGAAGTCATTGAAGCTCTTAACGAAGTAGTTGACAAGGCAGACGGAAGAGGAGGTGGAGGAGGTGGGGGTGTGGGGCTCACAAACACTGCAGTTCTGCCTGTGGCTGGTGACTGGGGCCGGCTTTCTACCAAGCCTGGAGCAGAGCTGAAACAACAATGATATGCCCCAATCAGTTAATAAAAACAGAAAATCTAAAACATATCTCCAAATGCATCAGTTAACCAGTACCGTTTGCCAGCAGTAATAATATTTACGGGTTCCTCTAAAAACTGTAATTTTTGTTGGTAAGTAGCAGGACAGGAAAAGGACAGAAAAGAAAATCAGTAAGAATATTAATAATGATAACAATGACGAGCACAAATCATATAAATGATTATTAATCCTTGATAATTGTAATTCCAATAAGACAGTTTCATTTACCTTTGCAGGGTCAAGCTAGTAAATAAATTCTTCTTACATTTATATACTAAATTTTAGTAACTAAAATGGATTAAGCATGCACTGTGACAAAGTACATGTATGCTATGACCATATTTGTAGAAATCCTTGTGACCAAGATAAGACATATTCAATCCTAAGTATTTGGTGCCAATATGTGCATTCTCAATTAAATCAATGATACTTATTATATACAGAATTTGGCTGTGACAGATTTAGAAGAACCATACATCTTCCCCAGAAAAGAGCCTAGAGTGAACAGAACATTCATTTTTACTCTAATTTGTAATGCAGGTCATCTTATTTTATAATTTATTTATAATTCATCTTATAACTTATTTATAATTTGTTAGATTCAGTAACTGACAGACTAATTTAAGCTTCAAAAAATACTTCAGGAAGATTATGAACAGCATCTGATTTTCTGCCCCCAATCCTGACAGTCCTTTTTCCAACGCTTTCTTGACACATCCATCACCATCTCTCAACTATGTTGCTTGACTTCCATTTCTTGTCTTTTCAAACCTAACCCTTTACAAGATTCCACTTTCCCCTCCCTTAGACAGCATGCTATTGTTCATGTGCACTTGGCAAAATCCTTCATTAGAAATGTAAGTTTTTTTCATCAGGGTAAAGTTCTTCTATTGGAATACTTTACTGGAGAAAAAATGGAGCAGCTCTTCTCAAGTGAAATATTTACCCATGTATTTAATTCTGTTACCTGATGCAAGTAGGTGCCGCTTTTCCATCTCCTGATGCATGCATTGGAGGAGGTGGAGGTGGCTCATGAGGTCTCACTAAGACCCTTTCCTCAGCTCTGTTTAGAAGTTCACTCATCTGACTAAAGGGTAATGCAGAAAGTGAGTAAGAGGCGTCCATATGATCCACATAAGCCTGAGGTCTAAGGAACAGAAAATATTTAGTATGTTAGTGTCCCATTTTTTGCCACACCATTGGGAAATGAGCTATTCCACCTGACAACTTTTAAAAAACCACTTTTGTTGGAAATAATACTGCAGGAAGACTTTGGAGATTCTCAGACTTTCGAGCCTTAACCAGAGGTGCTTTCCTACAAAGTGCTTATTATGAACAGTCTCAGATCACCTTAATCCTAAAAAGTCTCTAAGACCTTGATCCTTCTACCCCATTATCTCCTCCCCCCCATTCACTGTTGAATAGCTTGAAAAAGCTGCCTACATTTGCTTCCTCTATTGCTTAACAACTCACTTTTCTCCCCACCCCTTTAATCTGATTTTTGCCACTAACACTGTACTGAAATCACTCTCTCAAAGATCTCTAATGCTCCCCAAATGAGCTTTTAAAAAATCCTCCACTCTGACTTCTCTGCACCTTCTGACACTGTTGATCACTCCCTCCTACTGGATATTCTTTCATGCTTTTGATTCAGAGACATCCCCACTAACCTGATTTTCTTCCTGACTCTTATAATTTGCTCCGTCTCCTTCTCTAGCTACTCCTCTTCCCTGCTCCTTAAGGCGTCTCCTGGGATTCTGTCCTTCAGCCTCTTTTTTTCTCTCTCTACCTTTTGCTCCCTGGTAATCTTACTTGCTATAAAGATGACTGCCAAATATATATTTCCAAGTCTTATTACTTGTCTGAAAGAACCAAACTTCAGGCTGCTGATAGGACAACTCCATCTAAGAGTCCCAGAACATCTCAAATTCAACATGCAACCCAAACCAGGCTTGTCAATTTTCTCCCTAAATTTCCTTTTACCTTTTGCCTCCACCATTTCTACCTATGGTGTAGCTATTCACTCAATATCCTATGCTTGAAACCTGGGCATATAGTCATATCACTTCAAAACTTCTCTAGGCCTCAGTTTCTTCATATGTAAAAGGGGAATAATAATACTAGTCCCATATTAGAATTTCCCACAATTGGCCTGTAGGTCTGTGTTTACAATCTTTGGTGCTTTCTAAGATGGCCAAGAAGACTTTGAGGAGAGAATGAATACTTGCCTTTAATGGACATTCCTATCCCATTCCATCTCTTTTGGAAGCCTGCCCCCTCTATTATTCCTTTTCTTCCACTTATCTTTGATTTCTACTTATTCATTGTTTCCTTTCCCTAGACCTATAAACATAATTAGGAGATAGGATTACAAGAAAAAGAGCTGGAAAGGAGAGTATAAAGATGAAGAAACCGAGCCCTAGGGAGACAAGGTTACTTACCCAAAGTCACACAGATAGTAAATGCCAGAGGGAGCATTTTCATCCAGTTCCTCTATCCCCAAAAGCAGAGCTCTTTCCCCTATATCATCACCCTGACGCCTTTCTCCTTTCTTAAATAACTCTTACTTGACTCTGCTATTTCCTCAAGCTATCATTCAGTATCTCTTTTCCCTTTTGTAGCCAAATTTCTGGAAGGAGCCATCTACATTTGTTGCCTTCACTTTTTCACATCCTACTTTTTTCTTATTCCCTTGCAATCAATCTGTTTTCCTACTTCACTCCCTGATGGAAGCTACTTTCTCCAAGGATACCAACATCTCCTAAACATTAGGACCAGTGACCCTTTTTCCAGTTTTCATTTCTTTAAACCAGGAATTCTTAACCTGGATCTATGACCATAAAAAATATAGACATTTTCATAACTGTATAACAACTGTCTAACTATTTTGTATATTTAAAAACATTCTGAAAAGGGGCCTATAGCCGTGTTAGACTGTCAAAGGGGTACAAGATATAAAGAGATCAGGGACTCTGCACTAAAACTTTCTAGAATATTTGCACACTCAACCACCTCCTCCTCCTGCATATTTTCTTCACTCTTGGTTTCCATGACAGGACACTCTCCTGGTTATTCTCTAACCTCTCTGACCCTATCTCCTTTGCTTAATCCTGCTGCTGTACTGGACCCTTTTCTCCTATCTCTATACTCCCTTTCCTTTAGGTTCAATTAATACCTCTATGCAAATGCTATCCAATTTATGTATTCAGCCTTGAATCAATCAATATTCATGTATCGAGTGCTTTCTATGTACTTGGCTGGCATTCTGCTAAGCACTCAGAACACAAAACAAAACACAAAAGCAAAAACAGTTTCTCTCCTCAAGGAAATAGGGGAGACAACATGTTTATAAAGTAAGAAAACCTTAGAGGGGAAGGTACTGACGAGTTTTCCTAAAGAAGGTGGCAAATGAATGTTGTCTTGAAGGAAGCCAGAGATTCTGAGAGGCAGGTGTGAGGAGAAGAAACATTCTAGGCATGGGATGGGAAGGGGAACACAAGCATAGAAACAATATGTGTGAGAAACAGCAAGGAGGCCAACATGGCTGGACCATGGAGCATACGGAGGAGAGTAATTTGTAAAAGGACTAGAAAGGGGTCAGATTGTGAAGTTTAAATACCAGACAAAGGAACTTATATTTAATGCTAAGGGCTAACAGTGATACAGTGGAATTTGTTGAGGGAGGGAAGGCTGACAAAGTCAGCAATGCTCTTCAGGAATGGCATTTTGGCAGCTATGCAGATGATGGTGGTTGTCCTTGTTTGCCCTTCGTTCTTGAAGAGGACCAGGACATCAGGAAGGCAACGTCATGGCTTGCAAAGGAATTGGATTTAAGTGAGGAAGAGCTTTGCAAAGTCACCAGCCTCACTTTCTCCCCCAGAGCCATCTGAGTCCAGCGGCCAGATACAGATCAGGAAGACTGGAGATGGCCCGAGATGATGGATTGGAATGAGGAAAAGCTTGAGGCAGGAGGACTAAGTACAAGGCCGCTGACATAGTGCAGGTGACAAAGCCAAGCGTCTGAACTAGGGTGGTGACTATATGAGTGGAAAGAAGGCAACAGACATGAGAGAGGTTGCAGAGGTTTAGAAATGACAACATTTGACAACTGCATGGACAGAATAGCTGAGTGAGAATAAGGAGTCGAAGATGACACCAAGATCTGAATGTGGTGACTGATGGATGGTGGTACACTTAACAGGAATAAGGAATTTTGGGAAATGAGTTAAGTTTTGGGGGAAAGATGTGTTGTTTTTAGACATGTGGAGTTTGAGATGCCTATGGGACATTCATTTTAAAATGTCCAGTAGAGGGGCAGCTAGGTGTGGCAGTGGAGTCGGGAAGACCCGAGTTCAAATTTAGCCTTAGATACTAACTAGCTGTGTAACCCTGGGCAAGTCACTTAACCCCAACTGACTCAAAAACAAACAAGAAAAGAAAAAAAAAAACAAGAGAAAAACTCCAAAGAAACGTCCAGTAGACTTGTTGGTGATGTAGGACTGGAATTCAGAAGACAGACTGTTTGGATATATAAATGTATTATTAGCATATCAATGAATTATTAGCATAGAGAGGAATATGTGTATAGCTGTATGTTTATATGCTATATGTAAAATCTAAGTAGGTATATATCTAACTCCAATTCCATATTACTAACTGCTTGCTAGTTACTTCTGTTAGGATATTCCATCCACATAAAAAACTCTAAAGGTCTAAAATGGAATTCATTACTATCTCCATCCTTCCTCCAAACTTCCTTCTTTCTATGGAAGGTTCTTTCATCTTTCCAGCTACTCAGGGTCCCCACCTTGGAGTCATCATTGACTCTATCCTTCCCCTCATTCTCCATTATTATGAGTTGATGAATTTGAGTACTTTTAATGTCATTTCCCATTAGTCTCTTTCTTTAATAAATGCACAGAAACAGAATCTTCCATTTATTAAAGTTATCTTAAAATGCTTACTTAATTTATGGAGATAGAAACTCTATGTATAGTGTTGAATTTTTTTAAATGATTTTTCTCTGGAAAAAAGTTATGTCTGATTTTCATCTTTTGCATTTATCTTTCACAGAGGGTCTTAGTCACAGTGCCATATCCCTAGGAGCCATTTTGTTTTCCAACAAGGGCCCTTGAGAACTGGGGTAGAAGGACTCAGACACAACATGTATGTTCCATACCTCTGAGAAGGCAGGGTTGGGAGTTTGAGGAAAACTCTAGTTTTGTATTTATCATTTTAATCTAAGGGGAAAGGTTTGTGGGAGGAGAAAACGAAACGGAATTTACGAGTTTCTGAACCTCTTTCAAATACCACCAAATAAGTAGTACTTAAGAAACAATGCTATCCCTAACCTGAAGCTCCAGAGGGCTCTCTCTACTGGGAATGTCAGTGTGACAGTTCTAGAGACAAAGAAAGGCCAAAAAATGCTCCCAGATTTCTAAGAGCTCATTTCTTTATAATCCCCCCAGGATTTTCTACAGAGGATAAAACGCTAAAAGATACTCCCTCTCTCTTCCTTCTCTTGGAATCCTTCAAATACCAAGTAAAATCCCATATTCTATAGGATGTCTTTCCTGATCCAAAATGCTAGTGTTTTTCCCTCTAAGATTATTTCCAGTTTATCATATATATATATCTATATCTATATCTACATATCTTGTATGCACATAGTTGTTTGCATGTTGTTCAGTCATACCTTCATTATCCCATTTGGAGTTTTCTTAACAAAGACACTGGGGTGGTTTGCCATTTCCTTCTCCAGATGATTTTACAGATGAGAAAACTGAGGCAGACAGGGCTAAGTGACTTGCCCAGGGTCACACAGCTAGTAAGTGTCTGAGGCTGGATTTGAACTCAGGAAGTTAAATCTTCCTGACTCTAGTCCTAGCACTCTATCCACTGCACCACCTAGCTGCCCTCTGTTGTCTACCCTGCATTAAACTGTGAGCTTGAGAATAGGGAATGTCTTTTGCCTCTGTATCCAGAGTCCTTACCTAGCACAGTGCCAGGCACACAGAGGTGCTTATTAAATGTTTACTGGATGACTGACCTTTATAGTTACTACTTTTATGGTCATACGTTTGCAAGAAGACTTCTTACTGTAAAATAAAACCTAGAAAGAAAAGGAACCTTGGTTCAAACTGAGAGGCTGGGCCATTAGCAACTTCACTTGGCTTATGTAAGGGATTCACATCATCTTCCGCAAGCTCAGGACCTTGCGCTAACTTCTGCCATTCTCTCCTCCGGTCATGAGGTGCCCTTGGCACTTTTTCTGGTTCAAGAGGCCGATCTAGATTTTTCTGCTGTAACAGATGTATAGAAACAAAGCCAAAAAGTAATTGAAGTTTATAAGAGTTCATAACAAATCAAAATAAAATGCTCAAATTACAGCGAAAATTATAACATCCAGGGACTCTCCTAGACATTGCAGCTAATTTACTGAGCTAATTCTTGACTAGTTGATTTGTTACCCCTGAATTCCTTGCATATTTAATCTGGAATCTCACTTTGTTTCCCATCCTGCTAAATGAAAACTATTTCCCTCACTGGCCTCACTATAGTGCCTGGAATTTCTATTGTTAGTACTATCCTTAATTATCTTCTTAATTTTATATATATATATATACATATATATATATATATATGTATATATATATATACATATATATATATATGTATATATGGTAGTTAGGTTATGTAATCTGTTAAGGAGGACAAGTTAGCTATCTAAACACACTGGGAAGGATGAGTTTATGTGATGAATCCATTGCTATCCAGTGTCACACAGCAGAACAATGCCTTTGGAAAACAGAATACAAAACATGTGAGTTTTCAAAATAGAGCAGTTCTCACAGATGTTTTGGTCTTGGGACTCCTTTACACTCTTAATTATTGAGGATCCTTCAAAGAGCTTTCATTTCTATTGATATCGATTGATATTTATCATATTAGGAATTAAAACATCTTCGTAATAGAATGAGAACACTTTTGACCCTGCAGCTTCCCTAATCTCAGATACTCCACAAAGATTCCTGGGCCTTACTTTGAGAACCTATGATGCAGGGAAAGGACTATAGGGTATGATCTGGCTCCAGTGGGAAAAAGTAGTTAGAGGGACATCCTGAAGGTACTGGGGTCTAGAATGGCTTAGAGGGTCGGGAGAGGGGCAAGAGAATCAAAGTTATCCGATTTCATAATTTTGCCTCATGCTGGCCTTGATTCCTTCTACTTTCTGTATTTTCCTACATTCATGGAAAAAAGAATTAGGGAGAATCCACATAGCGAGAAGCCTTAACTAATGATGGTTTTCATCCAACTTTCTTTGGTTTTTACATTAGTCATTTGCCTTTCTAAAAATCCAATTTTTATCAGAAAAAGGCAAATGTCAATAAAAAGGGAGTTATATCAGAGATTTAGTAAGAATAAAACTAAAAAAACTCTCTGCCTCTATTCCATGCCTGCCTGGCCTTCTTAAAGAGGCCAAGAACTTCTGAGTTCTGGTCTAGGCTATTCAGGTCAACCTCCCTCACTATCTAAAGTTGTATAAAGAGTGAGACAATGCAAGCTTCTCAAATCATCAAAGAAAGATTCAGTTATGCCCTGTGTATTAAGGTTCAGCCATTTACATATTTGAGAATGATTCTCGGTATGGACTGAAACAAAAAAGGCTACTTAGATAATCAAGAAAATTAAATAAATTAATGAGAACACATTATTACTCCCAAATCTTAAAGTAGCCAGGCATTCCTGTTATTCTATGATTTCCCAAAGTTTTCTTGTTCACTTTTGCATTTTTTAAGTCTTCCTAACCTATACTTCATGGTCAAAAGTAGAGGCTAGAAGTACTCTAGTCTCTCAGCAGAATTTAGAATTACATAGTATAGGTGGTGATTTTTTAAAATGATACAGAAAATTTGTGATATTTGAGTTATATGCTAAATTTTTGTTATTGGCATGTTGTTGTTGTTACCATATAAGGACAGGAGCCTCTGGTTATATCATTTGCCAATATATCTGTCACCTTATTAAAAAAAGTTTGAAAAGATTCATTTACATTCTCTAATAACCCCTACATGGTTGAAAAGATGATCATATTTACCTACATCATTAACTGAAAATGTAAAAGGGAATGGTATTTCATATGGATAAAAAAAAATACTCACAATAAGGTAAAAAGAGATAATTTTAAAAAATCTGTTAGAAATAAAATACCTTCTGCTTTCTCTTTTCCTTCCTCTTATCTTCAGTGTCCTGTAACATTTTTTCTTTCCATAGATCAAAGAAATATGAAGGATTGGTATAAAACTTCAAACCCTCTTTACCATCATCCCTGAAGTAAAATAATTCAGATAAAGCACATTTTAGAACCCAGAGAATATGAGCACAGTGTAACACTAAGAAGCATGGAGAAAGAAAATTACTGAACAATTATATTAAAAGCAATAAATTTATGAAGATAAAACACAGAGAATAATATACCAAATAAACCAAAACATGAAATAAAGGAAACAACTGCTTCAATACAAGGTGATACTAAATCAGATACTTTGAACACTCAGAACTCAGGGGGGAAAAACATAGAAATAAGAAAGGTATTTATTTTAAAATTAATGGAAATGATCTGCTATAAATATTTGATTTAAAATATGGACAATCAAGACTTATTTCCCCACACTAAATTTTCTTATTAATGGGATTTACAAATGGTGGAAAGATGATTACTTTCTTTTTTTTCTCTTTGTATCCAGGGTGATAGTGTCTTCTGAAATCAAGAACTCTGAGATATTCTGTTTCAATATTCCAAATTTCATTAATCTTTCATCCAAAGACATCTAGTTTCTAAAGGTCTACAGTTTTAAGTAACTGTTTGGCTTTTAGGTCACTATTTGGTTCAAAAGGAACACAATATTTGGGAAAAAATTATTCAATTTGTCATGTGAAAATATTTTAAATGGAAAAGTGTTTTTGCAGTAGAAAACCTGCAAAGTTAAAAAAAATGTTATTTTAAACAACAAAACCTTTTTTTAAAAAAGTTTTTTTGTCTTTGTTTTTTTAAGTAACCACTGTTAACTATAGTTCGAATATATAATAATCCTGGTCTACTACAGTGCCTGGCTGTTAAGGAAAGGAAGACAGAGACCTTTCTAAAATAAACATTGAGGGCATTTCATGGAGAACCTTTATTAAAAAAAAAAGCTTCACCTGGCGTTAATTGCCCATGGGAGTGTAAGTTTGATTATGGTCAGTAAAAGTTATTCTTCATAATGTCACCTACCTGTAAGGAGTGAGTATGTTGAGAGGTGGAGGCTGCTCACAAACATTGTAAGTTTCTTGTAATGGAATTGGCAAAGTCTTTCGGTCAAACAGCTGCTGATCTTGAGTTGTGGAACTTCGGAAAGCTTTTCTCATTGTGATATCTTGTAATGACACTGGAATAGAAAGATAAAGTTGAGGATAATGAAACATTTTATTTTGTTTTACACCAGTAACTAAACATACTTTAAACACACACACATTTGCCTCATGGGCACCTTGGCTCAGTATAGCTTTGCGTATTGGTTTAAAGTTTAATTATTGTCAAAAATCATACTTATAGCTTATAGTTTCCCAATTGATAGGGAAACTAATAGAGATTATAATTGTCTTTTTTGTTCTTTCTCTTGTTACAATTCTCTCTCACTCTTTTCATTTTCATCTACTCTTTGTCCCCTCTTTGTCCAATCTTGTTCTGTTTTTAGTCATTGGTGGCACTGTAGATTTAGTTTTTTGTTCAATTCCCCTTAACAACCAATGGAGTTAGTTTAGTTTTGTTATTATTCTATTAAGTTCTGTAAAAGTATTCCTTTCATAGCTGGACATGTATAACAGTATAATGTTAAATTAAATATACAAAAAAGGTCACTTTTATCAAAATATCTGAAGCTTAGCTAAAAGTCCATGGTAGGAATGGTAGTCACTATTGTTATGAAATTCGATACTATAAGCAAATTAGTACAATAGTTGTTTTCTGATAAAGAGAAAAAAGTACATGTATACAAACACACATATACACCCACATGACTAGAACAAGCTCTTTGAAAGCAAAGACCATGTTTTCTTCTTCCTATCACTCCCAGTATCTTGTATTTCTACACAGAAAATGCTTAATAAATATTTGTTGAATAAATGGAATGATTCGTACTACAAAATGCCTAAGTGAGAAGGAAAACAAAAGAGCAGACAAGTTCTGACAAAAAATTCATCCTGTGATTAGCAAGTGGTAACCAAAAAAAATATAAGCCATTTTCCTTAGAGGAAAAACTGTATACAGGAGACATAGGGGTGATGAAAAGATGTGCCCTTATTCAGTTTACATTCAAGTGTCCATGTTAAAAAAAAGTCACAGGGTCTGTACCTTGGAAAGTACAATTGATCATAGGTAATCTGAATAATGTTTCTTTTAAAATTACTAGGTGCATTAAATATTTAAGCCATTTTTATTCATTAAATTCCAATGAAAATAAATACCTTTTTTGTAATACAATGTAATGAAACTTTGCAAATCAGCATGGTCCACAAAATTTATGCATTCCATTATGCTGAACTTTTGGTTCTGTACTTGTAAATGATTTTAAACATGATGATTTAATTCAACAAATATTTATTAAGCACCCACAAGGTGTTCTGATTCCTATTCCCAAACATCAGTCCCTTCCAGCATTTTGAATATATTCACATGACAAATGAAATAAATATATATCTAACCAAGCAAAAAGGATACATTTTAGGGCATTAATTTTAACTTTTTGTTATGGTAAACTTGATAAATAAACAAATACTTATTAAGTGCCCACAAGGTGGTCTGATTTCTCTTCCCAAACATCAGTCCCTTCCAGCATTTTGAATATATTCACATGACAAACGTAATAAATATATATCTAACAAAGCAAAAAGGATACAATTTAGAGTGTTAATTTTAACTTTCTGTTATTGTAAACTTGATAAATAAACAAATATTAAGTGCCCACAAGGTGGTCTGATTCCTCTTCCCAAACACCAGTCCCTTCCAGCGTTTTGAATATATTCACACGATAAATGAAATAAATACATACATAAAGCAAAAAGGATACATTTTGGGGGTGTAAACGAGAGAAATGAACATTTCTACATACAAAAAACAAATGAAAAAGAGGCTTGCATGTCAAATTGTGCCTCTTTATTACATACACCTATTAATACGTATGTATGCACATATGTATTTCTACTTTCAAAACATTAATCCAAAGCTGTTTGGCTCATCTGAGGCTCCCCTTGAACTTGCCTAGTAGTGTTATTACTGGGTAAAAGGGTGCAAAAGTTAAGTGACAGAAGATATGTCCTCAAATTAATTGGCAGGATGGCTGAACCAATTCACAGCTCCATTAACAGTTCCTTCCAAACCATGCCACCTAATACCAGGTTATCTTCCTCATCCCTCTCTCACCAGATCCTGGGCACTGCTCCGGGTGATCTGATAGTGAGGCTTTGCTTTATTTTGGTCAGAATTAGGCCTATACAGCCATTTCCAAACCATACCATAACTCCCAGATACCCTCCCTTCATGTGCTGCTTTCCCCATTAAAATATAAGCTCCTTAAGGGTTGAAATCATCTTTCTTGGATATTTGTAGCCCCAATGCTGGCACTAAGGGATTAATAAATGTTTGTTATTAGTTAATTTGTGTGCCTGTCCTCCCACATCTAGTCTAACAATTGCCATTTCTTCTTTTGGTTGTCTTTGTCACTCTGATAGCTTCTGACCATATTCCACTGAAACTGTTCTCTCTAAAACGACCAATGATCCCTTAACTGCAAAATCCTATGGCCTTTTCTCAATCCTCATTGTTTTCAACCTCTCTGCTCTGGCTTTTCCAATGCTATTGCTGTTAGTTGCCTACATCTCTTGGATATCAGACCCTTATCAGGGATATCTGCTACAAAATCAGCTTTTAGATTCTTCCTCTTCTCCATAATGCCATATATTTTCTAAGGAAGCTATATGTAATTCTGTCACATGTTAATGACTCGTTACATTTGACAACAGAACTGTATTACGCATCATTGTAGGAGAAAGGAATACATGGGGGATAATTATTTCTAACAAAAGCACTATTAAAAATTCAATCTATATGTATCTAAAATTGACACACTTGCATTTACAGTTTCAAATGTAAGAAACTTATACCAAATGCCAGAATTGGAAAGCCAGATATGCAATTATGATTATTATATATGAGTATGTATCTAGAGTGACTCTGCCTCATACTATATACACATATTGTTAGAATACTTATGATACTTTAAAAATACATTATAAATAAGGGTTCCATATGTGAAAATATGGCTATGTATTACTTTTTCATAACTTTACTACATACTCAATGAAGTTCAAGGCTCAAAATACTTGAATCTTCCTTGACTCTTTCTCTTCTCCTTTGTCCTCTCATATTCAATTAGTTAACAAATTTTGTCATTTCTATCTCCAATAATTCTTCTGGATCAGTCTTTTCCTTTCCATCCCAACTGACATCGCCTTAATTCAGGCCCTTAACTTTATAGCTAGATGACTTCAAAAGCCTCCTAATAGGTCTAGTCTCTCTCTCTTAAGATATCACAATCAGATTTATCCTCCTTTAATCCTATCATGAACCTAAACAAAATCTGTCAATGGCTCTCCAAGTCCAAATTTATACAGGCTTTTAAGGCCCTCCCTAATTGGGCCTTTGGGTATCTAGGTGGCTCAGTGGATAGAGTGTTGGGTCTGAAGTCAGGAAGATCTGAATTCAAATCTGTCCTCAAACCTTACTAGTGTGATCCTAATCACTGAGACAACAGAATAACAATCTGGCCCTACTCTCTACTCTTTCCTCTCTTACACAAGCTCTTCCACTCCAGCTAATTCATTCTCCTTCCCATCTTTTGAACTTGGAATACTATGTGTCTATGAATTTTGATATTCATGTGCCTGAAATGCCTTCCCCAATCCTTTCCATCGAGTCAAATCCTTTATGGTCTCTGTTGTTGTTTAGTTGTTTCTAGTAGTGTCTGGCTCTTCATGACCCCATCTGGGTTTTTTTGGGAAAAGATACTGAAGTGGTTTGCCATTGCTTTTTCCAGCTTATTTTACAGATGAGGAAACTGAGGCAAACAGGGTTAAGTGACTTGCGCAGGGTCACATAGCTAGTAAGTGTCTAAGGCTAGATTTGAACTTAGGAAGATGAGGATTCCTGACTTCAGGTCCAGTGTCCTATCCACTGCATCATCTAGCTGCCCTAGAAATGAGGGCATTTTGTTGTTTGGTCATTTCAATCATGTTCAACTCTCTGTGACCCCATTTGGTAGCTGCCATATGAGCTCTGCTCCTCCTTAAAGCCTTTCCTTAACCTCTCTATTCTCTCAACTCTTAAAACACTACTCATACTGACATTTAATTATATTCAATCTCGTATTTTTATTTATCTATTTCTTGCATATATGAGCTATATTTCTAAAAGGATCACAACACCTTTGACAGAAATGACTGGTTCAATGAATGTAAATCTCTTTGCAACCTTAATAAGCTGTATACTTGTGAACTATTATTAGACCTCGATACTCATTTACAGTGTCTAACAGTGATAAACACTGAGTATGTACTTGATATTTGAATTGGATTCTTGAAATAACCTATGTAATTTTAGCATGTAAATATATCATGTGATTTAAAACTATGTATAATTACAAGTTTGATTTGATTAGCTTTTATTCATTTGTTTGGGATGGCACTAGAAACTTCCTGAGAGCAGGAATGTTTTAATGTTTGTCTTTGCATAAAGGAAAGGAAATGAATTGAAGGGAAAATAGCAGAATAAAAAGATCACTGGACTGAATCAGATGACCTGGGTTGAATCTCAGTTCTGATACTTACTAGCTGTTTCAATTTGGGCAAATTACTTAAGTCTTCTCAGCCTATTTCCTTATCTGAAAAATGGGGATAAATAATACATTCACTACTTCCACCAAGCAGTAGTGAAGAAAATGCTTTGTGAACTGTATAAATACGACACACAATATTAGCTATCATAGATATTATTTATACATAAACATTAGCTATTATTCAAACATTTTATTTAGTTAGAGGTTTAGAGATGGAAAAAATGATATTTTGAATTTGTTACAGTTTTTTAGATTTAGTCAGTTTTGTAAAATTTCCCTGTGAAGTCACCACACAAGTTCTACTCTGATGCTTCACTGTGATGATCATATGATCCTGGGTTCTTGGAGGCAATAGTAGCAGAGCACAAACTCTGAAAAGTTCAACCTACTGGGCCGGACTTCATAGATGAACCTCGTGTCTGTTGTCCAAGGACCAACTTACCTAAGTTTAGAGATGGCCAGAAATTTACCAGCAACTCTAGAGGGCCAATGTAAGA